ACTGGGACAGAGGTAGCAAAACGACTAATCTTCCAGTGGTACAACAAGATCAGCGCTGTAGTCGTAGGGTTTCCAACCAGGATGCGGTCTCCTCAAGCACAGTGAAGAAGCGTGTGGTTTCACCATCTGGAACTCTGAGCTTTGCAGCGAACAACATGCCATAGGTAAGGCCTTTTGCATGTATTTGCGCCTTAACAGCATCAAAGGATCAATGTTATCGTTGGGTATCCACGAGTAGTCAGGAAACAACATCGACTTGTGGTTTTTATAGAGCAGTTCCCCCTGGGCCCTAGCCACCCTTAGCGCCAGATCTCGATCACGGTAGTTAAGCAGCTTAAAAAATAAAGGGGTGGGGTGGCGAATCAGGTGGGCCCCTGACTGCTGGCATTCGATGGGCTCTCTCGACCACAAAGGTGGTGGAAAAGGTGGCTCGAGGCAGCAAGGAGCGAAGGAGGTTCCGGTAAACCAAGGAGGATTGTCATCCTCTGCCCCCTCAGGAAGACCCACAACACGGAGGTTGTTACGCCTACTGCGGTTCTCTGCATCCTCAACTCTAGTCTCGAGGTGTTTGACCTTGACCCGCAGCGTATGCATCTCTCATCGCTATCACACGGATAGTGTCCTTGTATCGCTGACACACTGCTCGACCGCTGTCACTCGACCCCAGAACGTGTCAAGATCCCTCCGGATCAGCCCCACATCAGTCTGCAGGTGTTCTATTTTTTGTGGGGAGCACTGCCTGACAGTTGGTAATCGCCGTCCTGAGGGAATTAAAGTCCGCAGGTGTGGCAGGTGGGTTGGGCTCCTGGGAGGGGGACGCAGCCATGGTGGCACTCACTTTAGACCCTGAGAGCCGAGCAGTTTTTTCAGCTTGTGTAGTTTCAGTTCTTCTGCCAGCAGTCTAAGGCTTTTCTCTAGTCATCCCCAATATTCATTCGCAGCGACAGAAAAAATGGTTACTATTTCAACTGGCGCGGAATATGGGTAGTTGGCCCCCTCGACCCACACATATGACTGAATAAGTATAAACTAGGCTGAAGCTGAACCCATGCAGAAGATAAGCAACTCTATCTGTGGTATTTCAGATCACGATCACTTGGAGGGGGAGATATGAGCCGTAGCAGGTTTTGGAGCCCTTCGCACAAGTTCAGATGCCACAGGTATGGTCCCCAGCCAGATCTCAAGCAGGGCACAAGGCTACCAGGGCCCTGTAGAGTTCCACATTTTTGGGGAGGGGGGGGGCTGCACAGACAGCTCCAACGTTCCCCCTCCAGGCAGCAGCCAAACCTCTACAGGTTCTCGGACGAGGCCGAACTAATTCACCCCTGGGAAGGGCGCACGGGCTCCCCTGATTGTAGGCCCCAACAGGCCCCGTGTCCCCAGAGCGGAATTTAGAGGCCAATGGAGGGCACCACCCTCCCCCAGACAGCAGCTCACCACACCGGGCTCCAGCCAGCAGGGCAGTAGCACCCGGATGTGTCACAGGACGGGTCCGGTCTGCGCGGAGGCCACGGCAGGCCGCGAAACTCAGTCACGTCGGAGGGGGGTCAAACCGACCTGGTTCCCCTCTCCAGGTAGCAGGCTAGGTCCGCAGGAGTCTCTGGTGGTGACAGGATCCCGCTACCACCAGGATGGAAGCGGATGATTGTACCAAGGAGGCAGAGCTCTCTACTATGCGGCCGCTCCGGTCGCCATCTTAGACACACCTACAACCTTTTATTTACATCCCACCAGTGAATTAATTAAACTCGCTCCCTTCTCTTTCCTTTTCTCTCACTTATTTTCCCCCCTCCACTCTTTTTCCTTCTTGACCTCTACTCCTCTCTTGCTGCCTGTCTCTTAAATTCTCAAACTTTACTTCTATCTCATTCTTTCTGCCTCTCACTTCCCCATTTCTCTTTTTCTCTTTCAATTTCTCTCTCCCCTTCTCCCTTCCTCCCTCTCATTTTCATCCTCATTTAATCTCACTCCTTTAGTTCAGTGTCGGTTCACACCAGAAACTGCATGTGATATGCACAGTAACTCCACAGTTCCTGTGCAATTCACATGCAGGTCAGTGCAGTGCAATCTCAGCCTATTCATTTTGAATGGACTGAAATTGCACTACACCACAAATAATGCATGCACTACTTTTTAAAATGCACTGCAACAAAAGTACCATGCCATCTAGTGTGGGCAAACACACTGTTTGAGACCTGAGTTTGGGGTGTTACTAACTTATTATTGACACCCACTGCAGAACGCAAAGGGATCGTGTTTTGCATGCAGTGTGAATTGCACAGGAATGCACAGCATGTTCCTGTGCAATTCCTTTGCGGGTATGGGGTGAACCAGCCCTCATTGTATCTCTATGTGTTCATCTCTTTCTTTTGTCTATATGCAGAACAATAAATGTTTGGCTTACTGCGCACTGAAGGACACTTCCATTATACATGTTCAATTAATACAGGCAGTGAGTGTCCTAACCATTCCCAGAGCTCTCTGCAGACAAGACTGTAGTATCCACAATGTGAAAGTGGATACTGCTGTATGGTGAACAATGGTCACATTAACACATTTTACCTATCTGTACAGAATTTCACTACAGAGCCTACTTAGGGTGATTCCTTGTCTGCCCTACACTGAGCAGTGACTGGAGTGACAAAGAGCCATCTCTCAGCCTCCTCCCTCCTGTTGTCTTTTCATCTTGTGTCCAGCTCTAGATAAGACATCACAGGGGATGTGAGGAAGGGGCTGGGCAGAGGGAGATAATATATTTATTGGACAAAGCTTCCTGACAGGATGACTAAGGAGTGGATGTTAACTCTGTCAGCAAAGTAGAAGGAAAACAGCACATGATACACAGGAGGAATCTCTGCTTCCGCTTTAAAGAACAGGAATTGACAGGGAGTCCCCAGGAACCCCCTGAAGCAGGGGCCAAGTCCAAATTGCACCCCCTGTGACCCCTGTAGTGTCAACACTGCTTCAAATCCTTTCAATGAAAGTGTCCCTAATTCATGAGCAAGGTGATACAGAGGACAGCAGAGCTGAGGAAGACATGTCAGGCATGATGGTGCTAGGCAGGGTTATTTACCCTCTCTACTTATGTTGGTGACAAATTTAATCCAAACATTTTAGTTTTGCCAGAAAAGAAATAGAGGGAAAATCTTTCACTAGAGACACGCCACCTGATAACAGCTGCCTAAGAAGGTATTTTCCTCATTTCAGTTATTTCTACAAGAAAGGATGTGAAGGGAAATTTTAAAATGGGACAAAGAAGGCATCCCAATAGAGAGCAAATTTATTTCCTGCTCTACACAAAACAAAAAACTTTGGCTTTAAAATACATAACTATGTTCCTGTTCCATTATAACCCAAAGGCATTACAGATCACAGACTGGTAACAAAACTAAGAAATATAAGATCAGCACAGGTAAAAGAACAAGCTTGATACAAGAGATCTTTAGAAAAGGCAAACAGAGTTGGAGAATGGGGACATACAGTACTTTAGTAGACACAGACTAAAGACACAGTACATGACACTGCTAGAAATAACTGCTATGAAAGGAAGTGGGACTATGCCTCAACTCAGCTGAGTTGGGGACAGTCCCACTCCCAAGTCTGATATTTGAAATAGTATTGATATTGTATTACCATGACTGATAGGTCTAAATTGCTAGTGTAATTACCTATACTGGAGGTGTGATATACCCTCTGGATAAGCCCTATACCCTTTCCATGCTGGAACAAATACTGTTCTGAAATTTTGTGTTTTAATGATCTGCGCACAAATAAAATAATACATTTTTAGTATATAACTGTTTTGGTACCTTAAAAGTTCATCTGGTGCTTTTTGCTGTTTTCCATATATTAATTACTTGCCTACTGGTCACTTATACCCCCTTCCTGCCCAGGCCAATTTTCAGCTTTCAGCGCTGTCGCACTTTGAATGACAATTGCGTGGTCATGCAACACTGTACCCATATGAAAGTTTTATCATTTCTGTCACACAAATAGAGTTTTCTTTTGGCGACATTTAATTGCCACTGGGTGTTTTGTTTTTTTTTGCACTATAAACAAAGAAAAGACCACAAAATTTGAAAAACTAAAGTTTTTCTTTGTTTCTATTATAAAATTTTGAAAACAGCTAATTTTTCTCCTTCACTGATGTGCATTGATCAGGCAGCACTGATGGGCACCGATAGGCAGTACTGATGAGGTGGCACAGATAGGCAGCACTGATGGGCAACGCAGTCTGATGGCACTGATTGACAGCACTGACTGGCGGCACTGCTGGGCACAACTGCAGGGCAGCACTGATAGGTGGCACTGATTGGGGTCACTGATCATCAGTGCCCCGATGTTCAGTGCTGGTCTGCTCTGTGACAGCTGCTGGTTATCGGCAGTACTTTCTTCACGTTGTGACAGCATGAGGAAAGTGCTGCAGATAAACAGCAACTGTATTTACTCGGTGATCTTCTGTGTCATTGGACACAGCTGATCACGTGGTAAAAGGCCGCTGTGATTGGCCTTTCCCCTCATCATGTAATCAGCTGTGTCCGTAGGACACAGCGATCAAGGAGATCGCCAGGTGCGAGCCGCTGGGGGCGCGTGGGACGGCGTCATATGATGTCCTGCCAGAACTGGACAACCACGCTGTAGCTGTCATTCGGCTATAGAGGGGTAAGGATGTGGTTAAGATGAAGAAACAAAAAACAAACACAAAAAAACACCACACTAAACTTTAGCTTTAAAGAACCCCACAAAATTGGAGCCAAAATCTTGAAATCTAGCAGCATTGAGATCTGGACGAGATACTAAATATATATCATTTTTGCCACTTCATTGCCTCAAAGTATTTAGCTTAATAGGGCCCACTAGAGAAACATCATCTATAAGCAACAAAAAGTAAAAAGGACGCAAGTACCAAAAGCAGAGACATTGCCATAATGTGTCTCTTGCCTGTAACCTAGATGGTTAGTGAAGTCATGATAATTTGGCACTACCTACAAAATACTTACTTTTGCCAGCATATTACATGCATTACATGACCACAACTTCCAGTAAACGTTCCAGCAGACAACTCGAGGCTTGTAAAAAGTGGATCAAATGTTTCTGTAAAAGAAAAGTGAAAAAATATTAAAGAAGGCTGCATTAAAAAGGTTAATGCCAGGTACACTGATGTATAGCGGGTAAAATAAGCATTGAACATGTCACCATTTTTCTTGATAAATATATTTCTAAAGGTGCTATTGACATGAAATTCTCATCACGTCGATAACAATCCATGACAGCCATACATACAAAGAAACCAAAACAAATAGGTTCAGAAATTAAGTTATGTGTAATAAAATGGAATGGCACAGGAAAAACTATTGAAGGCATGAAGAAAGGGAGGTCCTAAAAAAAACATGGAAAGCCAACACACCAGCTGAAATGTATCAGTAATTAGAATGCAACCCTGCCCCTTGTCAGTGCAAGTTAATATTAGCTGGTTCAGTCTCAATTGATGGCCTATAAAAAGGTGTCATTACCAAGGTGTCACACTCATGGGTAACAGCAAAGAGCTCTCAAGATCTTTGCAACCTTATTGTTGCAAAACATACTGATGGCATTGGTTACAGAAGGATTTCTAAACTTCTGAACATTCCAGTGAGAACTGTTTGGGTCATAATCCAGAAGTGGAAAGAACATAATTTCACCATAAACCGGCCATGACGAGGTGCTCCTCACAAGATTTCTGACAGAGTAATGTAAAGAATCAAAAGAGTTGTCCAAGAGCAAATGCATGCTCACCAAGCAAGACTCCATTGCTGAAGAAAAAGTAGGATGAAGCTTGTTTAAAGTTTGCTGCACAACATTTAGACAAACCTGTGAAATACTGGGAGAATGTAGTCTGGTCAGATGAGACCAAAATTGAACTCGTGGATGGCATAATACACACCATGTTTGAAGGTCAAATGGCATTGCACATCGCCCCAAAAACACCATAACAACAGTGATGTTTGGAGGTGGGAACATCATGGTGTGGGGCTGTATTTCAGCATACGGTACTGGCAAATTTCATATCATTGAAGAAAGGATGAATGGAAAAATGTACCAAGACATTCTTGATAAAAATCTGCTGCCATCTATCAGGATGATGAAGATGAAATGAGGGTGAACATTTCAGCAAGACAATGATCCCAAACACAAAGCCAAGGAAACTCTCAATTGGCTTCAAAGACAGAAAATAAAGCTGCTAGATTGGTCCAGCCAATCACCTGACTTAAATCAAATAGAAAATCTATGGAAAGAACTATAGATCAGAGTTCATAGAAGAGGCCCACGGAACCATCAAGATTTGAAGACGGTTTGTGTGGAAGAATGGGCCAAAATCACACCTGAGCAATGCATGTGACTAGTTTCTCCATACAGGTGTCCTGAAGCTGTCATCGCCAACAAAGGATTTTGTATGAAGTATTAAATAAATTTCAGTTCTCGTGTTCAATACTTTTTCATGTGACATTCCATTTTATTACACAATTTCATTTCTGAACTTATTTGTTTTGGTTTCTTTGTATGTATGGATTGCATTGGTTGTTACCGACATGTGGTGAAAATTTAATGTCAATAGCACCTTTTAGAATTTTATGATGTGGTGACCTGTTCAATACTTCTTTTACCCATTGTTTAACCTGTACAGATACCCAAAAAGATGCTTTTTGCACTTTATTCACTGTGGAATAAAAACTGGTAGTCAGTGGCATCTGGCAACATATTTTGTCTACATACAAATCTATTGGAAATCTCAACCACTTTCCCTCTGGAAGATTTATCCCCCTCAATGAACAGGCCATTTTTTGCTATTCTGCACTGCGCTATCTCAACTAGCAACTGCGCGTTCAAGCAACGCTGTACACAATCGAAATTTATGTCTTTTTCACATAGAGCTTTCTTTTGGTGGTATTTGATCACCACCAGGTTTTTTATTTTTTTGGGATATAAAAACTGAAAAAGACCAAACATTTTGATAAAAAAAAAAAAAAACCAAAACAATTTTCTAGATTCAGTTATTAAAAAATAAAATAAAAAAATAATCGAAAAAAAACACAAAAAGTTAGTGCAAAAAGTTATGTGCATAGCGCCTACAAGCTATGGTATATACAGTGAAGGAAATAAGTATTTGATCCCCTGCTGATTTTTAATGTTTGCCCACTCACAAAGAAATGATCAGTCTAAAAATCGAATGGTAGGTGTATTGTAACACTGAGAGACAGAATAGCAACAAAAAATTCAAAAGAAATGCATGTCTAACAAATTATGCACTGATTTGCATGTTCATGAGGGAAATAAGTATTTGATCCCCTAACATTCAGCAGGATTTCTGACTACCAGGTGTCTTTCATACAGGTAACAAGCTGAGATTAGAAGCAGTCTCTTTGTTACCTGTATAAAAGACACCTGTCCACAGGAGCAATAAAACAATCAGATTCCAAACTCTCCACCATGGCAAAGACCAAAGAGCTGTCCAAGGATGTCAGGGACAAGACTGTAGACCTACACAAGGCTGGACTGGGCTACCAAACTATCGCCAAGCAACTTGGTGAGAAGGTGACAACAGTTGGTGCAATCATTTGCAAATGGAAGAAACACAAAACAAATGTCAGTCTCCCTAGGTCTGGTGCACCATGCAAGATCTCACCTCGTGGAGTGTCAATGATCATGAGAACAGTGAGGAATCATTCCAGAACTACACGTGAGGATCTTGTCAATGATCTCCAGGCAGCTGGGAACACAGTCACCAAGAAAACAATTGGTAACACACTACCCTGACAAGGATTGAAATCCTGCAGTGCCCGCAAGGTCCCTCTGCTCAAGAAAGCACATTTCCAGGCCCGTCTGACGTTTGCCACTGAACATCTGAATGATGCAGAGGACTGGTTGAAAGTGTTGTGGTCAGATGAGACCAAAATCGAGCTCTTTGGCATCAATTCAACTCGTCGTGTTTGGAGGAGGAGGAATGCTGCCTATGACCCCAAGAACACCATCCCAAATGTCAAACATGGTGGTGGAAACATTCTGCTTTGGGGGTGTTTTTCTGCTAAGGGGACAGGACATCTGCACCGCATCAAAAGGGACGATGGACACGGCAATGTACCGTCAAATCTTGGGTGAGCACCTTCTTCCCTTAGCCAGGGCATTGAAAATGGGTTGTGGATGGGTGTTCCAGCATGAAAATGACCCAAAACACATGGCCAAGGCAACAAAGGAGTGGCTCCAGAAGACGCACATTAAAAGGTCCTGGAGTGGCCTAGCCAGTCTCAGACCTTAATCCGATTGAAAATCTGTGGAGGGAGCTGAAAGTTCGAGTTGCCAAACATCAGCCACCAAACCTTCATGACTTGGAGAGGATCTGCCAAGAAGAGTGGGCCAAAATCCCTCCTGAGATGTGTGCAAACCTGGTGGCCAACTACAGGAAACGTCTGACGTCTGTGATTGCCAACAAGGGATTTGCCACCAAGTACGAAGTCATGTTTTGTGAAGGGGATCAAATACTTATTTCCCTCATTAACATGCAAATCAGTGCATAATTTGTTAGACATGCATTTCTTTTGAATGTTTTGTTGCTATTCTGTCTCTCAGTGTTACAATACACCTACCATTCAATTTTTAGACTGATCATTTCTTTGTGAGTGGGCAAGCATTCAAAATCAGCAGGGGATCAAATACTTATTTCCTTCACTGTATATTGGAATTTAAGCAGCTTTTACTTTCTGACTGTCCATCACATTTCTTGAGGTGCTAAAATGCCAGGGCAGTACAAAAACCCCTCAAATGACCCCTTTTTGGAACGTAGACACCAAAAGGAATTTGCTGAGAGGCATGTCGAGTCCACAAATTTTTGAAAAAAAAAAAAATTTTTGTCAACACAAAGTTGTCACTCTGACCTTCAGAGGTATGAAGGAGCCTACTGAGCATGCTCCGAAACACGTTACCGCCCCTTCACCTTCTACATCCTACTCTGCTCTCCAAGCCTCATTTTGATGCACAGGCACATCCAGGGCTTTACTTCCTGATCCTATAGACAAAGTTTCCTGCTGGACGGCTGGATGTCTCACCTGGATCTTATTACACCACACGAGGAATCTTTTTAACTATTGATCTTGTAAGTGCAGTTTGTCTATTGTTCACCAATAAATTGTCCATACTGCACTGAGAGGCGCCTTCCTCTGGTGTTTATGCTTTAAAATTGTGCCTGCCAATGCAATGGCAACAAACTATGTACATTTTTAAAATCCATATGCAACTCTTTAAAAACCTTTACAGGTCATCACCTTAGATTTACACAGGTGGTCTAGTGCTAGAATTACTGCCCTTTATCTGACATTTGTGATGATACCTCACATGCATGGGGCAATTTCTGTTTACATACTGACATGGGACTGCTGCTTACGTTTGCCTTTGCGCACGAGGATGGGGTGGAGGGGGCAAATTTTTTATTTTTTTTTTTTAACTTATTTTACTTTTTTTATTATTACACTGTCCCTTTAATTTTTTTTTTTTTTTATCACTTTTACGGTTTTCAAAGGCAATGTAAATATCTCCTGGACAGCAATAGGCAGTGACTGGTACTCTTTTCCAGGAAATCTATTAGACTCTAGAGCTCTCCTCTGCCTTAAAGCATCTGATCACATTGCTTTGCAGAGAGATACAAAGCAGCATGTCCATGCTCACAGGTGAGAGACCTGTGTTGTTTACACAAGGTATCTCCCCTGTCAGCTTTGCCGACGGCCAGGACCCGGTGACAGACATCCCTAGCAGACAATAGCGGAGTGGGTAGGGTGGCACGTGCGACCCCTCCCTGGTAATGCAAATCACGTATATATACACACGTGATTTTTGCGCAGCCGCACGTCTGCTACAGGGCGGCGGTCAAGTGGTTATCCAGCCAAAGCACAAGTTAAAATTTCATTTATTTCATATATTGTACAGAAAAACAATATTCTGTACATGTCTTACTTCTTATTACTTTTTGTGTTTAATTCAGCTTCAGTGGGAGGATAAAGATCTTTCCTTGGGCTGCATGCTGCAATGAGGACAACTGCCAGTGCAACCCAACTGTTCGGGTGACAGCTGTTAGTGTCACTTGACTGATAAACGGACCATAAATAAGCATCACTACATTACTGGTGGCCGACCAGCAAGTACATACCACCTGAGTGTATAACTGCTGTTCCTCGGTTCTGGCATAAGGTGGTAGACTTCTGTACACAGGCAGTTAACACCATTGTGGATTTGTCCAGTCTCACTTCTTGTTCCTCCTGGCACAGGATGCAAGTCAGTGCTTCTTTTTCTGGTATTGATGGGCCCCGATTAGGACCCAGCGCAATCTTCGCGCCCTCAGCAGCTGTCAGTGAGCTAAAACAGAAGTTATCCATCAACATTAAGATGCAAGGCCACTGAGTTTCTAGCTGCAAGATCCACAGCACAAAGCCAAACGTTAGTATACTAAAACTAGAAATTCAGGAAACAGGAAAAAAAAAAAAAAAATTATCTAGTTAGAGTGTTGTTAAAAAGTATTTGCCCCCTTCCTGACTTTTTGTAAATTTGGCACACTGACATGAATCAGATCATCACATTTAAATATTATACAAATATAACCTGAGTAAATACAAATAGCAGTTTCTAAATGATGATTTCATGTGTTAAGGGAAAAAAATCTGTCCAAACCTGCCTGGCCCTATGTGAAAAAGTAATTGTCCCCTAAACTCTCTGCTGCATAATCCAAGTGCACTTGAGGACAGGAAATGATGGCCGAACATTCTCCTTCAAGATTTTCAGGTAGAGCGCAGAATTCATGGTTCCATCAGTTATGGCAAGTTAGGGCAAGCAGCCCCAGACCATCACACTACCACCACGTTTGACTGTTGGTATGATGTTCTTTTTATGAAATGCCATGTATGTTTTACACCAGATGTAAGGGGACGTACACCTTCCAAAAAGTTCAACTTTTGTCTCATCAGTCCAGAGAATATTTGCCCAAAAGTCAGGGGGATAATCAAGATGTTTTTGGCAAAAGTGAGACAAGCCCTTTTTAATTACTTTTTCACATAGGGCCAGGCAGGTTTGCACAGCTTTTTTCCCTTAATAAATGAAATCATCATTTAAAAAAAAACTGCATTTTGCATTTACACGGCTTATCTTCATGTCATAATAAAATTTGTTTGATGATCTGAATAATTTAAGTGTGACAAATATGCAAAAAAAGGAAAATCAGGAAGGGGGCAAATAGTTTTTCACAGCACTGTATGTATTCATTAAGGCATAATCTAAAAGATATCTTTTACTAGACTAAGGCATTAAAAATCAAAACAGGCAGATTATAGGAGCTGCTTAGGTTTAATCTGTCATAAGTATATGGTGTTTTCCTGTGCAGGTATTTGAAAGTGATAATATAAAGAGACCTTGTCACCACACTACACTCAAAACGAAGCACAGACAAAGCTTCTGTAAGTAAACATAATGCTGATTCCCTGCCTGCTGCAGCAATTTGGTACTCTTGAACTTGGCACACACCCAGTGAGCTGGATGACAAAACAGCTTACAGACAGCTGTACTAACACAAGCGATGTTGGTGCAGCGATCTCCCCTGCTGTGCTATTTTGTTCTGACAGGGGGGCCGCCCCCCGTCTGAATGTCCATTGGCTGCAAGGACTCGGCTGCTGGTTTTCCAGCATGCTAGATCAACCAAAGCTGGTCATGAAATCAGCTTGTCAGATGGGCAGCTGTACACACAGGCCGAATGTCGGCCAGTTTCTACTGTACTGGCTTATGTCGGCCAATATGCAACCAGTGTGTACAGGGCTTTAAGATGCAATATCAACCCTGAAGTTTAACAAGAAAATTGATACTTCCAGGTGTACAGGATCAAGAGACTGCTAGACTGCCCTCAGTGTTCCAGCAATTTAAAATGTGTACCTCACACATTACAAAATAATTAAAGCATGATCAATAAAGAATTGGGGTATTAAGTAATTCTAAGGGTGTTTTCAATTACCCTCAACAGCACTGTCTACCTAAATATACATGAAGTAGTATACCCACCTCATAATATACTTGCAAAAGCATTATATTAATACAAAATTAGTGTTTGAAAAACAAATACACATTTAAACTAGATAAACTGTACATCTAGCTATACCATTGCAATACAGCATTACACACATTTCTAGGCAATAAACTATACATCTTTGTTTTAATGTACAACTGTTTTTCAAATGTGTACAAGAGAATGCAAAAGATAACATACCTAAAAGGCAATGGCTGATAAAGACGAATCAGGCTGAGAAAGAGCAGCCTAATCTACCCAGGGTTTCAGGAGTATTGTACTTCCAGTAGAAGCACTCCAAGGATGTTGAGAGGGAAGGATTCTCAGTGGAGACTCAAATTGTTGCAGCAAGCAGGGTTTGTGTAAGTATACTTGATACAGACTTTCTGCCCGAGTTTGGTGTAGTATTTAATGGCAGGGCCTCTTGCGACTATTTCCTAAATTTACCACATCGTTGATCAGGTGATAAAAACGTATTTAAATTTGCAAGATCACACTCTTCCATCTGATACAGCACTCCGCTAACAACTAATGAAGGGCTAAATACATTATTTCAGTGAAATGAGCTAAATATTCACTTTGACAATACACAAATAGCTTACATCTCCTCGGTTGGAGTGGAGGCCTCTTGCACTTCCTGATTGTTGTCATATAGCAGCTTGTTTGTTTCGATAAAGTTTTTTTGCAAAGCAGTCATCTGGTCCATGATCTTCTTCCGGTGTAGTCTTGCTGCCTCCGCTTTACGTTTTCTTGTTTCCTTCTCTTGGGGGCTCTGTACCTTGCAGCACAGAAACAGGAGAGGACACAGATATAGGCGAGTAAGTAAAAAATAATGTGATCCATTATCAATGCTGGCTATATATGGCTATTAATATTACTACTAGCTGCATCTGACAATAAGGTTTCAGGGAGAAAATGCAAACTCTAATCACATGCTCACCTGATGCAATTATTATTATTATTATACAGTATTTATAAAGCGCTAATAGTTCGCTCAGCGCTGTACATTACAATGGGGGACAGAACAATAACAATACAATGCAAAACATGAGGGGATCGAGGGCCCTGCTCTTTCGAGCTTACAATCTAGGAGGGAGGGGATGGTGGCACAGGAGGAGAAAGCTGTGGGGGATGGAGTGGTAGGAAGAGTGGAGGAGGTCGGCAAGTTAGCAGGGGGTGGGGTAGGCTTCCCTGAAGAGGTGGGTTTTCAGGGTGCGCCTAAAGGAGAGTAGGTGATAATCTGATGGGTTGGGGCAGGGAGTTCCAGAGGATGGGTGACACCCTGGAGAAGTCCTGGAGGCGGGCATGGGAGGAGGAGACCAGGGAACTAGAGAGAAGGAGGTCTTGTGAGGAGCGGAGTGTGCGTGTTGGGTGGTACTTGGATATTAGGTCGGTGATGTTGTTCGGGGCAGTATGATGGACAGCTTTGTACGTCAGTGTTATGATTTTGAATTTGATCCGTTGCGCAATCGGAAGCCAGTGGAGGGATTGGCAGAGGGGGTGGCGTAAACGGAGCGGTTGGAAAGGTGAATGAGTCTGGCAGCCGTATTCAGGATCGACTGACGCGGGGATAGCCAGCGGCGAGGAAGGCCAGTAAGGAGGGAGCTGCAGTAATCGAGTCATGATATGATGAGGGAGTGGATGAGCTAAATTCAGGGGAACTCCCTGCAGAGAACTGTTTGTTGACGGCCCCTGTATTAAATGTTCTCAGGTAGCTTTAAGCTTACTACTACCACAAATAATTTAAATAACTTCTTGGGCTGAGCTTTGTCTGCACATCTCAGCCTGCTTTAAAATGCAAAAAGGTACTGAAGGCAGACTGGCCTTGGTCACAGAAAGCAGAACAACTGTCCAAGCAAAAGTAGCCTCAAAGCTACTCACTGGTTTTCTTAAAACAGCTGATCAGCAACAGAAAAGCTGAGGGATGAATAGGTTTCCTCATTTCCTCATTCTGCATTTATATATGTTCACAATTTCAAAACCATAATTTACATGAAAAAAAAAAAAAAAAATAATTTTGACTTTCCTGCAAATTCCGTATTTTGGCATACAGTACAGGACACAGGCTGAATATTTAAAGACCCTGGGTCATAGGCTGGTAGCTTCAGGTGATGGATACTGGTAAAGCTTTTGAGGACACACTGCCTATGACCCACCTATGACGCTACCCCAATCCATGAATACTCAGCTTTGTAGCAGTCAAAGCAGAGCAGCACAGGAAGAGAAGTGATGGTGTTCTGTACTGTATTCCAAGATCTGAAATTCACAGATGTCAGAATTTATTTTATCTTCTTAACCATAGAACACAGGTTGAATATTTATAGATCCTAGGATGCTGCCAGGATATGAAAAAGAAGGGTGGGTGGCAACTAGAAGACTGTGCCAACAGCACAGCATCAAGAGTCAACAGATCAAACTCCACAGTGCTGCTGCAAAAACCTTGCGGCCGAACGCTACATCCGTAGAAGAATGGATGTCTACATGGTAGAACTTTGAAATTATGCTTATCACCCTCTGAAAAGTGATCCATTTAATTGACAAACGACAATTTTATTTTCAGGAACATGAAACGGCGAGCCAAGCACAGTAGTTGCCACCTGTCAAACTCTAAAGCCCAAGGTATGTGTACTGCCCTGTCAGGCTGTAATGTTAAAATTACAGCGAGTGGCAGGAGGGCCTGGGGGGAGGGGTTTAAAACTGCACCATGTCCACCTGTTACTGCCCCACGACTGGTGGGTTAGGGGATCCACAAAGCTAGGCATTTCCTTGATCGGCTAGATAGAAGCCTGGGTAGGTCGAGAGAAAGATCATGCTGGTTCCACGCCATCAAGATGTTGTTTTGAAGAGAGCTCCAATGAAATTGAGCAAATGGAACAATTTCGAAGGAGACTACCATAAAACCTAGAATTCTCATGCAGAATATCACAGTGGGGTATTTCTTCGTCAAGTCCTGAGTGTGAGTCCTGAATGAGCAGTTTTTTTCTCTGTAAGAGTCTTTTGTCTGTCTGTGTCTAGAATCAGCATCTGAAATGTCCTGTGGAAGTCTGAAGATATCTAGAAGGGAGACGAGTCCCTCAGAAGAAGGCAGTCTAGATAACCAGTGACCTGGATCCCGAGTTCTTACAAGAGCAAGAACAAGTGCAAGGATATTTGTGAATACTATGGGAGCAGGGGGGTAGACCAAAAGGCAATGTGAGACGCTGGAAGTGACCTACTGCAAACCATAGAAAACGTCTATTCCACACGTAACAATTCTACATACAATTCATAGAATTCAACAGGAACAGGGCACGTTAATATTAGGTATATATTTGAATAAGGAATATCACAATGAACAAATCAAGGTCATACATGACTATGGTAGCATATAGGAAAGGGGAGAAAGCAGTCTCTTCCCTCCTGGGTGACAAAGGTACACTGGGTTCGAAATAGAATTCTGAATATTAATCTGCCAGTTGCTAGAATACCAACTGCATGTCTTAGAGGTTATTAATTTTAGTGTAAAACTGTATTTGGGAATTGGTCGTAAGCTTGGTGACCTCCTAGCACCCATCCCTTAAACTGGGTTATTGGTCAATTGATCTCAGTCCACACCCCCCTGATATCATAGAAAGGGACTAACAGGACTTGTGAAGATTGAGCTCTCGTTTCACATCAACCAAGGAACGTCTTAAAACGGACTTGAGAGCCAAGGCAACGTTTTTGCTTGGCCAATTTGATTCTGCTAAAACCAGGACTTTGCAAGTATTCTGCCTAACTCCTTTCTTTTATTTTTCTGTTGCATTATTGTTCTCTTTATTTTCTTTGTAACATAATTTTCTGTAAATATTTTAATTGCACCATTTTGACCTTTTTAGTAATAAACCCTATTTTGAAAAGTGTTGAAACAGTCCCTAAAGCTTTTAATGCAAACTAAAGAATCCCTGTCTCTTGAAGAGTGCTACTGTATATAATAATCCTCTGAATATACTTGTCTGTGGTGACAGTGTGCGTTACAGACGTTTATTGTTCACATTTGTTCTTGCTAGCATTGTGAAGGGTTGATAGGTCCAAAGCTACCTGGTGGCAGTTTGGAGTTTGAAGGGTTAATTATGTAATTAATTAACCCAGTGCCAATTGCTCTCAAGCTGCTGGCACATAGATTGTGGTCCCATGAGCTGGAAAATCTTTGTGCAGGGTGCAGCTGAGAGTGGCATTGTTAAGCAAGTGACAGCAGGGTGTGAGATCAGCTGGTTCTTTGTCATGAGTTAATGAGAAGGGCAGGGGGTCGGGCACCACATTCATCACAGTAACTACTGTAACTGTTTTGTTAAAAAGGATACGTTCACCTGTACTTCGAGTGTAAAATGTAGCATGTTTAAGCAGACCCCCTTTCCCTTTTAGCCACATCTTCCCTGTGTCGCTGTCACATGTGCAAGCAGGTATCTGTGAATATATAAACTACAAGTCCTGCCTGACACCACAGCAGATGGACTTGTAGTTTCAATGGACTGAGTATGCGGATTAGCATGCTTATAGTTAATTTGCACTTTCTACAGCTCCAAAACTGCTAGCCCGTACAGAAGTATTGGCACACAGCTGTAAGAGGAGTCTGACATTGCACCCACGATGGAATCTGGTTATGGCTCCCAAAATGGCTCCCTAAAGTTGCACTGATCCAAATGCACTGCTTCTATTGTTGTACTAGAAGATAGTGAGGAGCTGACCAAAGATAAATACTAAACTAGTTAAGCTAAGAATGGTTTCCCCATAAAGGAGAAGAGGTTCATTCCCTTAGGAAAATGTTTCTCAACCTTTTTTCAGTCATGGCACCCTTTAAAATTCTAAAATGGGGTGCCTCAAAACTGTCCATAATTTTAAAAGGGCACCCCATTCTAAAATGTGAAAAAAACTATTCTAATAGTTTTATATAACGCAGCAACATCCACACATGTAGAGCACCCAACGATGGAGGCGATTTATTCTTTCAAAGCAAATACGCTTTTTCACACTGGTGCTGAGTGTTTCTCTTCTCCTTCATTTTTCACCATCACTGAGCTAATGTGACCCAGCACTGATGAAGAGGGGCAGGGAAGGGTCAAACTAGGATGCTGTGCAGGCAGCTTAAAGCCTCCTTATCAGCTGATTATGTCATTGGTTGTCAAGACGCCGGTGGCTAGAAGGTCGTAATGGTGCACAATGAAAACCTGTGGCTTTGTGTAACTAAAAGGCAGGCTTGTTCCACCCGCTGGCTTGAATACAAGTTTTGGGCAATTGTTAGACATTGCCAAGGCGCCCCTGAAGAAACCTCAAGGCACCCTGGTTGAAAAAAAGGTGCCTTAGGACACTAGCAAACTAGTGATTCATGGAGTGGGGTAGGCTTATAGGGGGATTTCCAGGGAATGTTTTTTTTTTTTTTTAAAGCGGTAGTGAACAGCTACTTTAAAAAATAATAATAAATAAATAAAAATCCCCTGTAAGGCAATGGCATAATGTGCTAGTGTCCATTGCATACTAGCACATTGTGAAATACTTACCTTAGAATGAATCCCTCCAGCAGAGCACTGTCACTACTGACAGGGCTTCCATCTTCCCCTAATCTTCCTTCCGAGTTCACTCCTGCGCATGTGCGTGGGAGTCAAAGTTTAATGCACACAGCTCTGAAGGGACAGCACGGGTATGTCGTCCCTTCATGCACCAGTGATGTCACTGGCTGCAGCAAGTGTGAATATCTCCTAAATACCACAACTTTAGGAGATATTCACTGTAACTACAGGTACGCCTAATCATAGGCTTACCTGTAGGTACAACTTCAAAAGCAGAGTTTACTACCACTTTAAGGATAAAGGGTTCCAGGACTGTCCTCACCTTTCTTTCACCAAGTGACTTACCAATAGGTAACAGGCATGCAGGTGGGAAATTCAGACTCTTAGGGCTAGATCACATTAGATGCAGTCCAGTGCATTTTTTTCTGCATCAAAAATGCATGCACAGTGTTTTCCATGTAATCCAATGGCCCTAGTTCACACCAGTGCAGTCAGCTCCAGTTAATTTCCACTACAGAAAAAGTAGAACATGCTGCATTTTTTCTGCACACAACTGTGTTGGAACATAGCAAACTGCATCAAAACTGCACTGGAATGGAGTGTGGGTGTGAACTGTGAGCAAAAACATATTCGGAATGCATCTGGAGTGTGTTTTTGTGGTGTGAACTGGCCCTTAGGGCATTTCTGGCTTCATGCTTGTCCTTTATACAGTGGAACCAAAATCAGGATGCCATGCCAAGGGGAATACAATTTAAAACATACAGTAATCATTGTATGCTTACTTTGAGCTTACCTCATCCAGTTTAGCCATGTCAGACGATGATGCAGCAATTGCAGTTTGGCCTGACTTTTCATGCAGCCGTTTCACAGTTTCCAGCATCTAGAATGAGTAGTATTCATTTACAGCAATCATGAACAATAATGCCAAAAAGGAGGTCTCAGTTTTTGGGATAGTTTTGTTAAAATGAAATGTTCTCATTGTGAAATAAAGAAAGTGAAATATAAGTCTATATACCAGCCAAATGCCACAAGTAAATGTAGACAAATAATTAATCCATAGTTCAATATATCCCAAATATGCCAGGTGTTGCTCATCTAGAATATAAAATGGAATTCTTCCATAAGTGCACATAATTGGATTTTGGCAACAGGTTTATCATGCAGTGGCACCCCGAGGCAGATGCGGGGGGTGCGGTCCGCACAGGGCGACAAACGACGACCGCACGGGCTGACACCAGACCCGCTTCACAAAAAGGTAAGTTGTAAAGCAAGCCGATGATCCTCGCAGGATGGACCCGATCCATCCTGCGGGGATCATCGGCTTTCTTTACAACTTACCTTTTCTTGGAGCGGGTCCGGTGTCACCCCGTGTAGGTTGCATGCCAACGATCCTGCGGGGATCTTTGGCATGCAACCTTTAGGGGGTGACACCGGTGTAGCGGCAAGATGTGTCTCCCATATAGATATGTCCCCCTGAAGCAACTGCGCATGTCCCAATTTCAGACATAAGAAGCAGTACAGTATACTGTAGTAGTTCTATCATCGATTGATCGTGCCTGAAACCGGGACATGCGTAGTTGCTTCAGGGGGGACATATCTACATGGGAGACACATCTGCCACTACACCGGACCCGCTCCAAGAAAAGGTAAGTTGTAAAGAAAGCAGACGACCCCCCGCAGGATGGATTGGATCTGCGGATAGAGCATAATCGATCGGAGTCTGATCCATTATGCTCAATTCGCAGATCCGATCCATTAAGGCAGCAATGGGCAAACTACGGCCCGGCGGACCTTTTAATCCGGCCCGCGGAGCTAGGCTCCCGCTAGGCTCCTCTCACAGTCCGCCCTGAAGACCGGTGTAGCATGAAAATCTGTCTCCTATGAGGATCTGTCCCCCTCGACGTATCTGCACATGTGTCGGAGATCGCCGATCGGCTGCTAATGCCTGAAACTGGCACATACGCAGATACGTTGAGGGGGACAGATCCTCATAGGAGACAGATTTTCATGCTACACCGGAACGGCGCGGGAACACGGCGAGAGGAACGCGCGGAGCAAAGGTAAGTGAATTGACACAGGGGGACTTGGGGACTTAATATGGGGGATGAATTAATATGGGGGATGAATTACTATAGGGGGGATGAATTACTATAGGGGGGGTGAATTACTATAGGGGGGGTGAATTACTATAGGGGGGGTGAATTACTATAGGGGGGATGAATTACTATAGGGGGGATGAATTACTATAGGGGGGATGAATTACTATATGGGGGATGAATTACTATATGGGGGATGAATTACTATATGGGGGATGAATTACTATATGGGGGATGAATTACTATGGGGGATGAATTACTATATGGGGGATTAATTACTATGCTTACTATGGGGGAATATTACTATACTTACTATGGATGACACATACACATCATTCATCTACTCTTGGTCTGGCCCCCGGGTCCAATATATGAACCAATTGCGGCCCTCAAGTCAAAAAGTTTGCCCACCCCTGCATTAAGGGGATTGTCGGAGGGGGTGTCACCAAGTGTTACTGCACCGGGTGACACTAACCCTAGGTACGCCTGTTATGTCAAGCTGCAGCTAATACAAAGATTCTGAAAACTGATAGAAAATCAGGCTCTCAGCACAGTGAGGAGAGAGCTTTTAGTTTCAGGAGAAAGGTAGACAATAACATTGCTACAAAGAGTTTTTAACAACTGATCAGTCTTTGTGTTTCTATAAACATAACTTCAGGGGGAGTTAAGGTGTGAAACCTGCCAGATTAAGGTAACTTTGGTTAGGCAATGCTCAATCCAATGCACCTACAGCATAGTGGAACCAACCTACACAATATGACGGTGATTCTAGTTTCCAAGCTTGGTTTTCCCTTTTTTTTAAAAAAAATATTTTTCATATTATACAATAAAATGCTTTTGTCCTTATAATACAAAGTAGATATGAAATTGAACAGATGAGCATTTATTCTAGTTTTTATAAATTGTCAGAAGCTTATAATTAAGCACCTTTTCAAAGTATGTTTGATTGGCCTCTACTTCCTCCCTGATCAAGTTTTAGAACAAGGTGGACATATCACAATTAAAACAAACGTATTTCTGTCAATGAGTGGTTTCTGAGACCATTGGGCTTCTTGTAGATCAGAAATTCTATTACCTGCAGAACCCAGCAAATCATGTCTTTCAGAGCTTCCAATTGTGTTACAGTTTTCAGCTTGTCAAGTAGGGACACAACACTTGAAGCACTTGGATCTGAGCTGCCAATTCCTACACAGACAAATGACACATTCCACAACATCAAACTTTGTGCATACATCAAACTCTGCAACCCATGAAGATAGAAATATTAAAGCTGCCATTTTAAAATGTGCAGACTGCAGGGCTGTCATGCTGGCAGAGGCTTCACTACCTAAAGAGTCAATGACTTGGAACAAGCATGCAGGGTGGACTCAATATGTATGAATTGAAAGGAAATTCTACAAACAAATGGAAATTTTTCCCTTAGACAAATGTCACCAGAACAAGTATCCTAAATGGAAGACTTCCCTTCACCTCTTATGGTGTAAGTGTCTGCAATATTTTGGAATACCACATCATTTTTGAACAGTGTCAGGACCAAGAGAAGGTGAATCTCATCAACGATGACTCACAAACAATTAAAAATAAAAAAAATACAATGAGCCAGCAATGGCAGCTCCTATATTTCCATCATTGCAAGTTCACTTAAAAGGAATTGTGTTCGTACATATTTTCTTTTACAAGGTCTGTCCCATCAATGCAATCTCTCTGAAAGCAACATTGAAGCCCTTCCCTTAACCAAAACACCATTACTTGACTGTAAAGATAAAGATATAGATAAAGATTTTAGAAAGTTGCAAAACTTCTTACACTTTTGCATTTTACATGAAATATGATAAGGACTGGGCAAATGCCATACATTACACTACAAAAAGCAATGCAGGTTACTATAGAAGGTTAATAGTGCTTATAAAATGTCTCTTTCTGAAACTCCCCATCTTTTCCAATACACTTTGTGATATTTTCTTTGAACTTTGAGAGACGTAGTGATGTTTTGACTAGTTTCCAGCAATGGGTCAATATGGAAAATTTTAATATATTTAAAAAAAGAACCAGCCATACATGATGCAGATTACTCAAGATTCTGAATGTTGAAGTTTCACAAATTGCAGGAGTTGGTATGTTATACATAGTTAGATTGGTCCAGCTTGGACCAATGTAACTATGTACAGAATATACCTTACGTAGCCGATGTCCCTGGAAGCTTGAAATCACTGAAGTAGACGCTGCTACTCCAGTGATCTCCATTTGCTTCTGGGTCCTGTACAGAACCTCTGCTCTCCTGCATTGTAAACACAGGAGGTAGGCCACTCAGCATGGGTGTCATTCAGAAAATGCAAAGCCCACGCTCAACATCTGTCCTCCTTTTTTTCACAATGTATTGGGCTGGCCGCTCAGCACAGTAAGCCAATGGGGGTCCCCGGAGTACTAGTGTCTCCTTCAGTGGTTTCCAGCTTCCAGGGGGATCAGCCAGGTATTGTTTATACATCATTATACTAGTCCAAGGTATAACATACCAATGCCTAGAGATCTTTAAAAGTATTATATTCTGCATGCTTAGTTATACAGTATATTAATGTATATAACTGTCCTCCTATTTAACATTACTGAGTTTGACTTTTGCTCAGAAGCCACCAGAAGCTGGAGAGCTGTCATCCTGTTAACTGCCTGCTCTCACATGGTTTCCCGGTTTATCAGAATGTGGCATGTGTCAGGTCATTTACAAAACTATTCTCAGCTCTCAGATGGCCTCTCACCTCTTGGTTCAAGTGATAAGCTGGCCATAGACAGATCAAAATTTGACAAGTTCAGCAGGGACTGGCCAATTTTAAATCAGAGCCTGACCGTCCCTACTAAACAAAGAACACACCGTGCCACACCCCTGCTGCCTGTCAGTCTTCAGAGACGGGCATTGGTAGTTCAAAGCAGACTCTTTCTTGGTTCCGGTCACATGACACAGCCAAAGTAGGACTTCCCCTTACTATGAAATGCCTGCTTTGGAGAGTGGATTTCATGGAACAGGGAGATCTGCACTGGAGGAGAGCAATTGTACTGGTGGGCCGGGATCTGTACTGGTGGAGAGAAAAATACTGGGGGAGGGGGAAAGATTTGTACTGGAGAAGATAAGTTTTTTGGCTTGTAAAAGGAAATCATTTATTGACTTGTGCCTCACATACCCCTGACTCTTGTACACTGTTTTCTACAAACCCATTGGGCTCTTACTTGTGGCCCAGCAATTAAAGAATATTTTTATGTACATGGACTGTTCCATATGTTACTGTGTACACAGTGAGCACAGGCTTATATTTTAAGCCCCTCCCACTGTTCACACAATATTGCCATACGTGCAATGTGCACCAGTTATTTTCCTCTACGTGCCAAAGGCTGATCCCATTCACCTCCCTTCCCCTAGGTCCTGGTGAGTAAAGATAAATAAGGATATAGATATTAACAGAAGCTTAAATGCAAAATAACATTATATGGCTGAATATTCAGATTCCAGCATAAACCTAAAATCTTAAACATAAATACACAGAAGAAAGAAACACTTTCAAATACATGGCAATAGAGAAAAGGCTCAGCTTTCATAGTAGACAAAGAAACTGAGTTAAAGTGCAGACAAGAACTTCTTACTTGTTGCCTTGTAATAGAAATCAAAAGTTACTTCCTCTTCTGCTGCCTTCTGAAGATGCCTTTTCTCTTCAATCAGTCCAAGAGCTATAATATGCAGAACCTGTATAGACAAGTAACATATCAATCATAAATAACCTTGGAGGAATTTCTACATGCAATGCCACAAAAAGCCACCCAAATTCTTCTAGCCAAACATGAGTTTTGCTCAGAATATAGAGTAGTGCAGACATAAGGGGGCCAGTTTTGAATAATCAGGTGTTTGTGTTTCGTTTGTCCAACTTCTGATCATGGGAATGTTGATGAAGTACATAAACAGTATGTCTAGAAAGCGCATGTGGATTTCGTTGTACTCATTCTATTGGGGTTCTCGGGGCTAAGAAATCAAAGTTGCAGCACAGACTTCCCTTGGAATGTTTATTAAATAACATGATGATTTTCAGTGTGCTGATACTAATGGGGCTCTTGGACCTAAGCAGCTCAGCCTCTCTCTGGTATGATAAGAGTTTCCTGAGGCATTTCAAGATATTCCTACAAAATCGGAAATACACCCTAGGCAGTAATTAGTAGGTCTGGTCTGAAGTCTTCTTCCAGCTGGATATGCCTTATACTGCTCCAACGGGAGCATCTAATGTAGCATAACTAGATAATTTTAAAAGCACTTCAACTGGCCACTTTCAGCTTCAAAAGAATCATATTTAGAAATACACTATACTGCCAAAAGTATTGGAACGCCTGCCTTTATACGCACATGAACTTTAATTGCATCCCAACATAACAGCTTCAACTCTTCTGAGAAGGTTGTCCACAAGGTTTAGGAGTGTCTTCCAGAAGCACATTTGTGAGGTCAGGCACTGATGTCCAACAAGAAGGCCTGGCTCACAGTCTCTGCTCTAATTCATCGAAATAGTTGCTCTATCGGGTTGAGGTCAGGACTCTGCAGGCCAGTCAAATTCCCAAACTCATCCATGTCTTTATGGACCTTGCTTTGTGCACTGGTGCACAGTCATGTTGGAACAGGAAGGGGCCATCCCCAAACTGTTCCCTCAAAGTTGGGAACATGAAATTGTCCAAAGTGTCTTGGTATGCTGACACCTTAAGAGTTCCCTTCACTGGAACTAAGGGGCCAAGCCCAACCCCTGAAACACAACCCACACTATAATCCCCACTCTGCAAACTTTACACTTGGCAAATTGCAGTCAGGCAAGTACTGTTCTCCTGGCACCCGCCAAACCCAGACATGTCCATCGGATTGCCAGAGAAGCACAATTTGTCTCTCCAGAGAACATGTCTCTACTGCTCTAGAGTCCAGTGGTGGCGTGATTTACATCACTGCACCACTGCATCCAATACTTTGCATTGCACTTAGTGATGTAAGGCTTGGATGAAGCTGCTCGGCCATGGAAACCCATTCCATGAAGCTCACTATGCACGGTTGTTGTGCTAATCTGAAGGCCACATGAAGTTTGAAGGTCTTTAGCTACTTGACTCTGCAGACAGTTGGTGACTTCTGCGCACTGTGCACTTCAGCATGCACTGACCCTGCTCTGTCATTTTATGTGGCCTACCACTTCGTGGTTGAGTTGCGGTTGTTCCCAGTTGCTTCCACTTTGTTATAATACCACTAATATTTGACCGTGGAATATTTTAGTAGCAAGGAAATTTCACAGATAGACTTATTGCACAGGTGGCAAGCTATCACGGTACCTCGATTGAATTCACTGAGCTCCTGAGAACGACCCATTCTTTTCACAAACGTTTGTAGAAGCAGTCTGCATGCCTAGGTGCTTGATTGTATACACCTGTGGCCATGGAGGTGATTGGGACACCTGAATCCAATGATTTGGAGGGGTGTCCCAATACTTTTGGCAATAAGAATACTGTATCTGTAAATGTCCCACTATACGTATAAATCTATGGATGCCGCGAAATGTACTTGTATTTGTACTTTTGGTCATTATCCATGGCTCATGACCCAGAGGTCAAGCGCACTGTGCATTTAAAACACAAAATATAAAACCATTTTGCTTTTCAAGAGAGATAAATATTTCATTTAGAAACATACTCTAAATATAATGTTAGCATGCACTAATGGACCAACAATTTTTTTTGCCTCAAGACCGGTTATGTTAATATTTAATGCACATATAGTGGTTAATAAAAGAGGACACAAGAAGAATGTTTATGTACAATAAAGCATTATACCATCTGTATCATGCCTTCAGTCCACATTGTTGGATCTTCCTCTGCTGCCCTCTGCAGAATGGTCCGAAGAATGTGCATCATGACATCGCAGCACAGGAGCTTGCTTACATTGTTGAAAGCTGGACTGAAGACTGGAGGAGGAGGTGGTGGTAATGCTGTACAGAGCATGAACAAAATAGCTTACTGACTGAATAAATTTTAGATTACTATTTAAATTATGTCTGTGTTTTCATGCAGTTAGTTGCCTATGTGGATCTCTCATTATTATACTCTACCTTCAGAGCTATTTTCCTGTTTCCGTCTTTTCTTCTGTGCATGCTCAGCCTGTATGAACAAAGTATAATCCATTTACCGCTAAAGTCAATGTAAAAATCAATATAACAGTACAGCACTTTATTGACCAATGATAATGCAAAAGTATGACCAATCAATGCTGCTGCATAAGTAAGAAGGAGCATTTCAGCAAAGAGTTTATTAAGAATTTTCATGTCAGGCAGCAATAGGCAGGTTTCTTCAATGAGTAAGAATTAGAGAATCACACAAATTTTGTAACCAAAACACAAATATACCACAGGTTTCCTTAGCGCATTTACACACCCAAAAAATATATATGCAGCAGTCAATACTTCTCTATATACTAGTGACAGATTAAGTGTGCTGTGGGCCCTTGGCTGTTTACCTGGTACTGGCCTTAGAATCTAGTTTCTGGTATATCAAAAACTTAAAAAAAATTTAAAATAGTTTACTTGCTTGCTTACCTTACTGCGCTGGGTCTTTGTGTAATGATAGAAGAAAACATTGAACTGGTCAAGGTATTCTTCCTTCAGCTCATAAACTCCATGACCTGATACTCCTGGCTTTCTAAATGTAAATGGTAAGGAAAGCTTCATGAATATTCAAACAATTTTTTCAAACAAAAGCTTCTTTGTCAATGCAACTTTAGTATTTTGCCCATGCACCAATGGATTTTCTATTACATAACAAACAGGTCAAACTTATCTGCTCTCTGCAAAGGATTTGCACAAAGCAGCCCTGATCCTCCTCTTTTTCGTCGTCCCCCCGCCAGGAATCTCTGGGCCCCTCTCTCCTGTCTAGTGCCGACATAGCATGCAGCTTGCTATGGGGGCACCAGAGTTGGCTCGCTCCTGAGCTGCTACTCCGTGTGTCCATTTAAACGAAGAGTGGCTCAACCCCGTCCCCACTTTCTCCTCACTTGCTCGCTGGTAGTTATTGACAATAGCGGGAGCCAATGGCTATCGCTGCTGTCTCAGCCAATCAGGAGCAAGAGACTATAGAGTGCCTAGGCTGGATTGAGATGGGGCTTAGGTAAGTTTTAGAAGGGGCTGGGGGCACTGCTGCACACAGAAGGGTTTTTACCTTCATGCATTCATGGTTTACAACCACTTTATCCACTAGGGAGGCTATTTATTTTTATTACACATTCCTCTCCTTTACAAAGCATTTCTGCGTGCTCCTTAAATCTGATTTATGCTTAGCAATGCTTAAAAAAAGAAAAAAAAAATTATCAGGCGGAGGAGTAAGAAACCTGTTGTAGCAATCATGCATAAAGAGATGGACGCGGTCCTCCATCTTGTTAAGGGTCTTCCATCTTCTATCATGTCTTACTCCCAAATCAGCTTTCCTCATCCCCCCTCCCTCTCTGTTGAGCGACATGTGGTCTGTTTGATGCAGATCACAGGCAGCAAACTCATTGGGAGGGCGTCATGGTTATAAATCACACACTATCTGGTGCCCCTCTGTCTAGGAAACTCTTGCTAGCGAAGGGCTCGTCAAGCCATAAACCAAGGCCTTCACTGTGCTCAAAGGCATTCCAGGTAGTAGTAAAATGGACTTACATTTAAAAATTCACATTTTCTTATAAGTTTATATCTTCAAATAGGACATAATTACATAAACATGGAGCACATATTCAGGTGGCTGACTTTAAGACAAGTCTCCTGGTATATCACACCCCCTATCTGGCATATACATGAGAGCTGAAAATTATATCTCCGTAACCATTCAAGCGGATATTTTATATCTAACCATTCAGCAGAAGATTCTGCGTACTAATCTACTCGTGGATAGCATGTTATATGTATCCAGGGTAAGTTATGAACCATAATATGATTTGTGCAGGCTTTGGTCATAGCCTGAGGTCTCCACCTACAACTCCCTCCCCAAATGAGGTGATTGGTTTTCTGTTTCAGGGAAACACCCTGTGGACTTGCTAGAAAAAGCTAAGCTGAGCAAAAAAAAAGGTTGAAGTTCTCCCTTTTTTAACATCGGAACTAAGGTTGGGAGATCAGGCATCCTTTTGGCTCATGAAACCTGATCTGCTTAAACCAGGACACTTGGCAAGTACTTTAACCCTCTAAACTCCTTTCTGTTATCTCTTTGCTGTGCTATTGTTTTCTGTATATTTATATATATATTGGCTACATCTTTTTCTGTAAATATTTTTATTGCACCCTTTTGACCTTTTAGTAATAAATCTTACTTTCTGAAAGTGTTGAACTGTTTCTACAGCTCTTTAATGCAAACTAAAGCACCCTTGTCTCTGAAGAAAGCTACTGTGTGTTTTAAATGTCTGCATACATGTGTCTGCATTGTGTATACAAACGATTATTCAAACATCATAGTGTTATTGCTGATATTGCCGAGTTTCCTCTCTCTCTGTACAAAAAGGAGGTGGTGACAGTGTGAAGGGTTAATTGTGTAATTAACCTGACCCAGTAACGATTGCTCTCAGGCTGCAGATACACAGATTGTGGTCCATTAGCTGGAAAATCTGTGTGCAGGGTGCAGCTAGGCGTGGAATTGTTATGCATGTGACAGCACGGTTTTAGATTTGCTAGTCTTTCGGTCACAAGTTTGGTGAGAAGGGCTGGGGTCTGACGCCGCAATCGTCACACCTGTCACATGACCTGTTTAAAGGCAATGTGATGCAAAGAGCACACAGCAAGATAACAGAGGCTCGACAGTGTGCTCTATGTTTTAGAACTAGAAAATAAAATGCAGACGGAGTGAGAACAGAAACCACAGGTCTTTAAACTTGGCCCCTAGGCTTTATTTACTTGTTCTCCTAAAGAGAAAATGCAAGTACATATATTTTGGCATCAAAACTCCTGGATAAGTGGCAAAGCACCTTGCATTATCTATATCATATCCAACAGAAGATCTTGAAAAAACACACATTTGCATTGGTAGAGTTTAGGATGTGGGGTTATGCTATATACAATATGACACACTTTATTTTACCACAGCCAGGAGCCTGTAGTTTAAATAATGGCATTTCTAGGAGGAATTTATGTTCTAGAATTTTCACAACCATATCAACCTTTGATTACCAAGCGCAACATATTAATACCTAAAGTACAACTATAGGCAAAACCTTTTTTTTTCAGTTTTGGATAGAGTGCAGAGGGATTAGAACACACCTCTCAGTTTTTATTGCTGTCTGTGTCCCTATTAGAGAGATTCACCCTTTTTTGTCCAATTTACCATTATTATTGAAAGAAAAAGTAAAAGAAAATCACACATTTTTGGGTTGTCCCAAGAAAAGTAATAGAGGAGAAATCTTTCAATAGGGACACTAGTTCTGGTGACCCAGGGGTCCCCAAGGAAATCCCTTAATGTGCATGGATTTCCTCTCACTTCATGTTTGGCTATGGGACAGGAAGTGTAAGGAAATCCCTGCAATAGCGAAAAAAAAATAAAAAATACCTGACAGGAGTTATAACCCTCCCTTGCTCTATCCAAAATGAAAATAAAAAAGTTTTATCTGTAGTTCAACTTTAAACGTTGGAAATAGCTTTTACTTTTTTTTTTTTTTTTTTTTTTTACAACAGGCATTGATTATTATATTTCCTTTTATTTCTTCAGTTTTTTTTTAGCTTGTTTTACATTGGTGTGCAATTTTAAAGAGTTACAAACAAATGGTTTACAACACAGATTAAAAAACACATTATGGACATGCCAATGGTTTTTGTAAATTATGTATATAAATCAGTAAGATGCATATTTCACACAGAAAAACTATCCTTGGAGCCACTATAGCACTTGCTCTACAGTGGGGCAAAAAAGACATACTGGGTTTACTATGAATATCTCTTAATAAAAAAATGTAGCTTTTTTCCCTCAAATGTTCAAGTGGTTATTTAACAATTGGAGAAAATGTAACCAGCACTAAAACACTTACTTAAAATTGGCCACTTTGTTGATCAAGGTATCCAAGCAAATGTCTAGATTTTCCTGAAAAAGAAAAAACAGGAAAGAGGAATATAAAAAAATATACACAATTACAATAAAAAGCACCAGAACAATGTACCGTAATTAGAATTGTAGTTTCACCATTAACAGAAGAAACAATCAATCAATGTTTTAAGTGAGTAAAATATTTTCATTACTTCATAAAGATTAACCAGGTCTAGGCCAGTTTCGCAATTCCTCTCCTACATGAAAAAATAAAAAAAAAACCCCAAAAAACCCCCCAAAAAAAGAATTTTCTTGCTAGAAAACTACTTGGAACTCCCAAACATTATATATTATTTAAAAAGAGGCCCTAGAGAATAAAATGAGAATAATGCACACGCTTTTATTCATTTTTTTATTAATTTTATTGCACAAAAACACAATATAATAACCGATTGTTCAGTAAAACTTAAAAGGTGATGTTACGTTGAGTAAATAGATACCAAACGTGTCACGCTTTAAAATTGCATATGCCTGTGAAACGGTGCCAAAATACTGTACCTAAAATTTTCATCAGCAATGTTTTAAAAGCCTTTATGGGTTACCAGTTTTGAGTTATACAGGAGGTCTGCTGCTAGAATTATTGCTCTCACAGTAATACCTCAAATGTGTGGTGTGATCACCGCTTACATATGCATGTGGGACCTAGGTGTGTGTTCACATTTGCAAGCGTTCGCCTTTGCATGTGAGCACTGGGGGAACAGGATGCTGTAAAAAAAAAATTTTTAACTTTTTTTTTTTTTTTTTACATTATACCTTTATTTTTTTTTTCTGGATCAACTTTATTGCTATCACCAAGGATCAAGGACAACTCTTCATGGAGAGATCTGGGGTTTGTTGAGATGCTTCCACAAGACGAAAACTCCTTGTTAATAAGGATTTTGATATGTTTGGTTTTAGTCTCATGTAGCTTCTTGTTTGACGTCACACAGGTGGAGGAAGAACTTTGGAAGCCTGTAAAAGTAATCCAATATCTCCAGGGCTGCTCAGATCTCTCTCCAAAACATTAATCCCCAGTTATACCAGAATAATGGTTAAAGCCATAATTCTTTTACAACAACTTTCACCTAAGGCCGTCTATAAATGGCCTAGGGATGGTAAGTGGTTAAAGTGAACTTGTCATGAGAGAACATTTAGGCTACCATTATTACTCTTGCTCTGAAAAGGAGACTAAACGCCTGATATGAATAAATACTTTTTTCACAGCCAAAAACACTGAAAGTACTAGGAGTCAGAGCTAGCTTGGCAAATCGCATTTTCATAAAGTTCACATTGTGAGAATACATATTTCTCACGTGCCAGGTTATGTTAAAACGTGTAACTCTAGCCTTTTTTTTTTAAATAAACTTTTTTAGCTTTGGATACAGTGTATTGCATTTATTAATGCCTGTGGAGTTCTTAGGGAGTTTACCCTCTACTTCCCTTGGTGATCACAGTTCTAGCCTCTACCCACTCTGCTAAAAATGTTCACCAATGTAAGATCCTTTGGCATGTTGGGGGCCAGGGTACCTCATCCGATGCAACAAAATGCATCAAAGGATCTTACGTTGGCAAAACAGGACTGGCACACCATTATGTAACATAAGGAAGATGCTTTTTGCACACCTATGGGACATTATTTCTCACAACCAGACCACACTATGGAAGACATGAAATATTTTGGTTCTTAACCACTTGCCTACTGGGCACTTTTACCCCCTTCCTGCCCAGGCCAATTTTCAGCTTTCAGTGCTGTTACACTTTGAATGACAATTGCGTAGTCTTGCAATACTGTACCCATATGACATTTAATTCTTTTTTTTCACACAAATAGAGCTCTCTTTTGGTGGTATTTATTCGCCTGGGCTTTTTATTTTTTGCACTATGAACGAAAAAAAAGAGCAAAAAATTTGAAAAAATTTGTTTCGATTATCAAGTTATGCAAACAGGTACATTTTCTCTTTCACTGATGTGCGTTGATGAGGCTGCACTGATAGGCAGCACTGATAGGCAGAACTGATAGGAATTGATGAGGAGGCACTGACTGGCCGCACTGCTGGGCACTGACTGGTGGCACTGCTGGGCACTTTTGGGGCTGCACAGACTATCAGTGCAGATGTCCTCTGACACTTGTCGGTTCTCGGCAAATGCTGCCGATAACCAGCAACTGTAATTACTTTGTGATCAGCCGTGTCATTGGACACAGCTGATCATGTGGTAAAAGGCCACTGTAATTGGCTTTTTACCTTGTCATGTGATCAGCTGTGTCCATAGGACTATGCAATCACACTGTAGCCATCATTCGGCTATAGCCTAGCTGTCAAGTGGTTAAGGGGAAGTTCAAAACTACACAGGAAAGAAAACTTTTGAACTAAGAATGAGAATTCTATTTGACACTAAAGATAATGGACTAAATGTGGACCTCCATTTTCTAAATCGTTTTCTGATGGTTTAAACTAGTTGCCTACCTATTGTGTGTTACACACATCCATAAAATCTCCTCTGTAAGCAATGCATTTCCTGTACATCCAGGAGACTGCCTGCAGTTTCTTATCTGCCCTGCTCCCACATGTGCACAGCCCAGTGAGACCCGGTATCTGTAGATAGATAAGCTCCCAATCCTACGATTGGGAGCCAGTCAGAAACTTTCCTCATTGAATGATCACTGTGACAGCCAAATTAAAGATCATCCAGTGTAACATTTATAAACAATAACAGAAATAACACACTAGCTGTCTAGCAGTTTCCTGACAGACATCAAATGGAGTGAGAGAGCTGCAGATAGCACAGAAGAATATAAAAGGAATAGCACTATTCTCTCTCAAAACAGACTCCCCATCAAGTTACCACCACAATCCTTCCCCTGAAGTACAAAAATTCATCAAAGTATAGTAAACTTGATTACCATCTAATCACAGTATAATGTAAACATAATAGCAAAAAAAAAAAAAAAAAAAAAAAAAAAAAAAGTCACAATTCAAACACCCAAAAAAATGTCCAAAAAGGAGTCCCAAATTTTCCAAATCTTTATCTGTGATATCTTAATTCTTCATATCTTCCAACATTCTTAGTGATATACTTCAAACCCGATCTTCATATACCTCAAGAAAAAAGAGCTCAACATGTGTGATATCTTCAAAAAAAGGTTATAATCTAAACAACCGTGCCACACGTGTATCATGCACATAGAGAATAAATGTGCCACCATAACCGTGAAAAAGAAGATACCCTTCAGCCTTAGGAGTCAATCCACTGCATACCACCAACGGGAGTTCATAGTTACCCTCAAAGTGATATCAAGGGTCTGAGTATTTCCTTCCACTTTATAGGTATTCTTTCAGCCTTTCCAGCCACTTCCCACAGACCTCAATAACAGACCATGGATCAGTATATATCAAAAAACTTATAGCACTTTATTGTAGCAACTTACATTCAAGTAAGATGACATCAGCTTCACAAACGGTATGTTCACAATCCTTCCTCTCATCGCAAGTGTACAGATTGCCACACTATATCACCTCCGCAGGAGGAGCGATTGCCGTGGGTTCCCAGTTCCTCAAAACCCCATGAGGTTTGCAATACACACATCCACATGCACCAGGATCAAAGATGGCCGTCGCCGCACTTCCGGAAGAGCGTACCTACGTCACCACGTCACGTGCCCCGGACGCGTTTCGTCACATCCGGACTTTATCAACAGGGATCCCAATCTGTACACTTGCGATGAGAGGAAGGATTGTGAACATACCGTTTGTGAAGCTGATGTCATCTTACTTGAATGTAAGTTGCTACAATAAAGTGCTATAAGTTTTTTGATATATACTGATCCATGGTCTGTTATTGAGGTCTGTGGGAAGTGGCTGGAAAGGCTGAAAGAATACCTATAAAGTGGAAGGAAATACTCAGACCCTTGATATCACTTTGAGGGTAACTATGAACTCCCGTTGGTGGTATGCAGTGGATTGACTCCTAAGGCTGAAGGGTATCTTCTTTTTCACGGTTATGGTGGCACATTTATTCTCTATGTGCATGATACACGTGTGGCACGGTTGTTTAGATAACCTTTTTTTGAAGATATCACACATGTTGAGCTCTTTTTTCTTGAGGTATATGAAGATCGGGTTTGAAGTATATCACTAAGAATGTTGGAAGATATGAAGAATTAAGATATCACAGATAAAGATTTGGAAAATTTGGGACTCCTTTTTGGACATTTTTTTGGGTGTTTGAATTGTGACTTTTTTTTTTTTTTTTTTTTTTTTTTTGCTATTATGTTTACACTATACTGTGATTAGATGGTAATCAAGTTTACTATACTTTGATGAATAGCACAGAAGAATGTTTGTGTGCACAGGGAATTTATTAACTCTTAATTAACCAGGACATGCCCCTATTTAACCTTTATTCTACTACTTAACCCAGTCATTTCAGTAGATCACCCTTATTCATGCTCCTATTTTAAATAATTTTTGGAAAAAACATTTTAAAAGCACATATATACAGTTAGGTCTATATATACAGTTAGGTCTATATATACAGTATTTGGACACAGGCACAATTTTAATTTTTTTCCAGGTATTTACCAAAAACATATTCAAGCTATAGTTATATAATGGATATGAGCTGAAAGTGTACACTCTCAGGTTTAATTTGAAGGTATGTACATCCAAATTTGAATAAGGGTTTAGGAATTACAGCTCTTAAAGAGTAGCCATCCCCCCTTTTTCAAGGGACCAAAAGTAATTGGACAGTTCAATCACAAGCGGTTTCATGGCCAGGTGTGGGCTACTCCTTCTTTATTTCTTCAATTAAGCAGGTAAAAGGCTTGGAGTCGATTCTAAGTGTGGTATTTGCATTTGGAATCTATTGTGCTGTGAACCCACATCATGTGTGTTTAAAAGGAGCAGTCCATGCAAGTGAAACAGGCCATTGTAAAGCTTCAAAAACAAAACAAATCCATCAGAGAGATAGCAGCAACATTAGGAGTGGCCAAATCCACAGTTTGGTACATTCTGAGGAAA